TGGCTTGCACCTTGAACTTGTATGGGACGTTCTCACTCAGTTGAGGCACAGTCAGGGTGGTTTCTGGGTTGTCTCCTTCAACGTAGATATTCCTGGGCTCCCCTAATCCACACAGACACACCAGGATTGAAGACAAATGGGAGTGACAGTCCCTTCCAACACAATGCCCCCAACTCTGGCAGGTGATTTGACTTCCCCTAAGCTTTGTGCCACCCAAAGCCTGCACAATCGCACTCAGTTCTATTGTTAAAACAATCCCTCTACAGCATAAAGCTGCTCCTCAGCAACCAATCTCTACTGTATTAGACCATAGGTCCTTCCTCTTCCCACCACATGTTATCCCAAGCCATGCAAAAATGCTAAGTACTGAAGTCGAGCATCTCCTGAACCTAGAATCAGCCTCGTGTCCCCACTCTGCCAGCTCCGTGTGAGCAGAAAAGTTTGTTGCTGGAGCAGGTGGGCACTGTGGCAAATGGCTCACTATGCTGGAGGTACCTGGCTCTCTCTACAGGGAAATTGGCTTCCATAGCCTGGTAACMTACCTCCTCCGTGCAGCATCTCACAGGTGACCATGTAGCCCAGGATGGCCCCATTGGGCTTGCGGGGTCTCTCCCAGCTGAGCTGCAGTGAATCGGGGCTGAGGGCAGTGAAAACCAGAGGTCCAGGAGCACTGGGTGTGCTCAGCGTGAATGGTGAACCTGCATGGGCACAAATGAGAGGCAGGTGACCCAGAGGGCCCAGGGGAGAAGCCCGGGTGGGGTCTGCACCCAGCATTAATGCAATGAGCTGGGAGGTGTCAGCTGCTTGCACAGCTAGTAGAAGGCTAGTGCACTGGGAGGAAAAGGTCCAATTTTCAAATGAAAGGAAGGAAGGGGAGCTCYGGATGTTGTTAAGGAGAGACCACAGTGAGACCCAGGACTGTACAAAGCAGCAGCAGAGATCAGCRTCACCTCCTCTTGCTTTATCCCCTGTCTTCCTCACCTGGCACGGGGCTGAGTGGGCTCTGCGGGTCCACCTGGGACTCTATGGTGATGACGCCTTCTCTCTCAGGGCCCCAGCCTTCCTCACTCTGGGCCTTCACCTTGAAGATGTAGGAGTAGTTGGGCAGCAGGTCCTCCACCACCACTGAGTTCTGGCTGGGGTTGGGGATGGTGAGCCGGTGCACTTCTCCTGGGACATGCAAGGAAGAGGGAGGTCAGCACCTGGTTTCAGGCACAAAGGCAAGACTACTTTTGCCTAAACCCCAAATTGTCTGGAAAACCTGAGCTGGAGCAATTCATCTGGAGCCCCTTCTCCAGGCACTTCCATCAGACTTGCCACCTACAGCTAGTAGCACAGGCCCACGTGCTGCTGCTGCTGCTGCAAAAAGGCTTGAGATAAACAACTTTTTGAAAACACTGAGGTTTTCAGCCAAAGACAACTTTTCACTTACCTTTCCCCAAGTTTTGTGTAAAAATAAAAGATTTTTATTCCAATCTTTCCTCCAAGTACAGTACAGTAAGAGGAAACTTTGAATAAGATCTTAGGGGGATGTGGACAGGGGGGCAGTAGTTTTTCACAGGGGAGAACTGACTCCAAAAGCAACTGGAGTTGAATTATCMCCCTGGCAGAAAGAGAGGACAAGTGTTACGGGGCATTTCCTCAAGCCTATGGAAGAGGAGGAGCTGGGACAAGTTCCAAGAGATGTGGGAGAAATCCTTTACCATCAAAGACGCCCACCCCAACAGCCCATCTCCCTGGGCTGAGCAGGAACCCGTTGCATGTTCACTAACCTCCGTTGAGGAGCTGGTACTGCACGCTGTAGCCCTGCACCTCCTTCTCGCAGTGGGGCTCCTGCCAGCTCACCTTCAGGGAGGTGGGTCCCAGTGCGGAGAACACCAGGCGTGTGGGAGTGTCAGGGACACCCAGCGGCATCCTGGAATCTGAGGCAGAAAGGGACCGTCACGTCATGGATACGAGAGTGAGGGGCTGAGGAGGCTGGGAGGGAGGAAGGAGCAGCACGCACAAGCGTGGGATGGTCCTGATGGTCTGGGGAGAACATGRCAAGATGTCCTCTCTGCAAGCTCTGCACACCTGCAATAAGGGACAGGGTCCCAGGGCTTTGAGGCTGCTCTGTCAGATGTGACACACTTTGCACCCCCTTTCTCCATGATAGGTGGATCAGAGCAGAGTGCTCTTCATGGCCTTCTCATTCACCCTGAGCACCCTGTTTAATCTACTAAGTGTTTCATGGACATCTTCAGACTAGGTGGGGATTTTGATCTGACCTCCTGGTGCAGAGAAAGAGGGAAGTAGGGTCATTCTGCCAGGGACTCGCCTTGAACCCAACATGGGCTGGAGGGAAGCAGACAACAGGACATGGCCACCAAATGTTCATCCACTAGCCACTTTTCAACTRCTCTCCTCTTTCATTCGTTGACTGGTCATTCTCATTCTTTAGGGACCTGGCTGTCTGCAACTATCTCATATATACCTAGTCTGGAAAGGTGGCATTTCTTGTGGGGAGGTTTACAGCCAACACTCCTGGGCTTCCAAAGGAAGGTGGGAACTTCACTGCAGCTTGAAAACTGCCCCCCTCTTCCTCACCCATCTCCAGAGCACTTTGCAGCCATGGATTCTGATGTCCAATTCTTCTCTTTATCCTGCTGGAAGGAGTCTCAGGAGCATAGCTGGAAAAGCCCAGTAACTCCAAGGATTCTTCAAGGGAATGGGAGCAGTCAGGACCAAAATTAGGTGCTCCTTGATCCCCTCCTCACCTCAGCCCACTGGGATGCTTGCATATCAAGACTTTAAGTGAAGCTTATAGTAAGGTGAAGTTCAGACTCAGGGAGGTTGGAGGCTGCTTTCTGGACAATGCACAGATAAAATTCCAGGCAGTATCTCAAGCTCTTAATTGCCAGGGGCTTTAGTCAATGAGTTTGCAGAGGGATTTCTTGTGTAGAGCACACGTTCTCCACAGCAGTCCTCCAAAGGCCTGTAGGAGTAAGACTGAGAACAACCAGCTTGTTAGGAATGAAGAGGCCAGGGGACAAGGAGCTGATGAGCTCATTAGAGCACGACGGCAGCAGCGACAAGTGTTAATCAGCTCACATGGATCAGAACACAGCTGAAGACACCTGTAAATGGAAAAGTGGTGTGATGGAAGCATAGCCTGGATCGGGAGGGAGATCAGTGCGGCACGCAGCAAGCAGTGGAGAGCGAATTTGGGAAGAGCAATGGATGGCAACAGCTCACGGGTGGTCGGTGCCTTGGCTGGTTATGGGGTGCATGGCCGAGATGAGACRCTTGCTAAAGCTGTACCTATGTACTTGCAAATCCCTGCGGACCCATCAGTCATGATTATAGAGTCCCGAAAGCCAATGCTGGGGTAGTAACCCTTCACCTTTGCCCTGCGCCTGAAAACCAAATTCCGGGACAGTGGCATTGTCCTCCTAGCATCTTCATGGATGGGAGGGAGGAATCTCCCTTGGTAATCTATAGGCCAGCAGCAAAGAGAGACAAAAAAAGAGAGAAAGAGAAAAACATAATTGGAGACATCAGAGCAAGTTCAGCCAAAACTGGGTTCTACACAGAGATGGACTCCTTAAAGAGGAGGAGGAGAAGGCTCTGCTCATATTTGAAGAGCTTTTTTTGCAACTTTCTCTCAATGCCAGCTTGATGCATCTACATGGAGCTGAAAAGTGATCATGCTAGACAGAGAGGCAAGGAGGCTCAATCTTCTCAGAGGCACTTTGCAGCATGGGGATTAGGTCATAGCTGTCTTCCCTGAGTGCTCTATACACACATGGTATGGAGCCTTTTCAAAGTGGTAGGGTGATAATCAGGGTGGCCTTATTGAAACGCTTGCAAGCCAAGGGTCTGAACATGACCTTCCATATCTCTGGTTCATAGTCCATGTTGCAAAGTGGTCTACAGGGTAGGGATCTGAAGACAGTCATGAAAATGGAAGAGGGAAGCAGCCTCATCATCTCAGTACTCACCATGTCCCATCAGCATTGTAGAATAGTCTCTAGTCAGCGAGGAGCTTCCTATAACCCTGTGTTCCTGCTGCATGTGTGAGCTTGCCTGGTGGTAGTTTGTGTTTGTTGTCCTGGTCAGTGTGCCCCCACTGCCAGGGAAGGAGAAATCCATCCGGCCATTCAGCAAGTGCTCTGTGAAAGAGAGCACAAAGTGAGCAAGATGACAGTGGCCTCGGCTTCTGCTCCAGCCAGTTTCCCCATGGAGGAAGCAGAAAGCCTCAAAGGGCACTCTCTCTTGGCTTCCTCCCTGCTCCAGCTGCTCTGGAATATCATTTGGGAATGCTACATCTAAAACAAGTGACAATAACCCAGTGGTGAGGGGGAAACAAACAGATAAACAGAGACATCACCCTACACCCAACACAAGAGACACCCACAGTGCCCAAGGTAACTCCAGACCTCGGCCTCACTGGGGCACTGCCTTGGGCTTCTCATCATATGCTCTCACACATCCCCTTTGATGTTAGCACAGATTTAAACTTTCAGGTTAAAAAAGAAGGTGGAAGAAGAAAAACAACTCTTTATGGAGACAGCTTCTCCAGATCTCACTCTGGATCCCGTCTCAGTTGGATCTGAAAAGCAAACTCTGCTCCGCTCTTCTTGTTCTTGACAAATTCCTGTCCCCTCCCAGCAGGTCACAAGAGATCAACTACCCATGTGAGAGTGATTTCTGTTTAACAGTCCAGCAGATCTGTCCTGGAGGATCAGAGGACTTAGTTAAGGTGAGGAGCTGCGCCTTGGAGGTGGTACTTAGCAGGTATCATTTGATTTTGTTCCTGCCTCGAAGGTCCAGCTTCGTGCAGAAGCAACTTGCTAGCAGGCTCCCAAGTCCATGCCGAGATGAGGGTTACCTTGACACTCTCATGAGCAGACAGACCACAGGAAGGCTTTGAAGCAGACTCTACAGCACATGAACAGTGCGTCACGCCAACACGAGGATGGGCACACAAGGGGAGGAAGGAGACACATTATGGGGCAGAATCAGTTGCATCCCCCTTGGCTCAGGGCAGGACGAGACAGGACACTCAGTGGAGGAGGATGCTGTCCTTCACCTGCTTGGGGCCCAGGGGTCCCACTCCTCATCAGGCTGCCAGTAGCCCCATCACTGTCCTCCTCACGGAGGAGACCCTCGGTGTCCGAGGAGAGGTGGCTGCTGCCGGAGAGACGGGGAATGGTTTCAGGTGGGAGCCTCCAGGTGATGCGACGGAGATCCAGGTCTTCTCCCAACAACTGCACATATTTCCACCGGGAGCCTTTTGGAACAATGTAAGCAGTGCTGTTGGCACAATCTCCAGGGGACAGAGTGGGCAACCCCACCACTTTCATGTTCCTTGCTGGGGAGGGGAAGGGGCCAGCAGAAATGACACATGTTTACGGCCTGTCTTGCCAAGCACTGGCTGATGAGTAAAGGCAGTGCAAACACCACGTCACTGGCAAGTGGAGGATAGAGGGAACATGAGACTCATGGGGTTCTCTAACCCCATGGGCTGTGTTCCAACCCATGTCCATCACAAGCAAAGGCAAACATTGAAGTCCCACCGCACGCCTGTCCCTGTCATGAAGAGTCTGCTACAATTGTCCTCCTCTTCTCAGGAGAGGTTTCTCACTCCACAACGTGCACGCAGAACAGTTGTCTCAGATTCTTGGTGTTCCCATTGTCTTTACTCTCTCCAAGAGCCAGGGACTCACTCCTGGATTCTGGTCCCTAGAGAACATCCCCAACTACCACCCTTCACCCAATTTAGACACTCTATATGCTCCTTGCAAGCCCATAATTCCAATTATAGCCCATCTTCCCCTTTTCATACTCATTTGAAGTCCTTGTTGTCCCAATACTGTAGGACTAGGGAACTAGGCCTTTTCCAAGAGAGAAGGGGTGGAGGAGAAGATCAGGAGCTGCAGGGGTCCACCTACATCCGATTCATGGCCGAAGCCTCCTCATCACTTGGTGAGTGTGAACAGGGTCTGGATTATAGGTGACTATGCTTGGGCAGATAGGTTGGACTAAGTCAACTTTAAAGGTTCCTTCCAATTTCAAATGTTCTGTGAGTCTGCAAGTTACCTCCTGTTGGCTGGCAGAGCCACTAAACATCCCATGGCACTCAGGGGTTTTACCAGCTTTTGCTTGCTGGTTGCATCTTTCATGGCACATTCAAACAGGGAAAGGGTGAACAGGGAAGGCTACGAAAAGCTTCTCTCTCACTCATGCTGAGATTTCTTTATCTCGCAGCTAAGACAAGGAGACACTGGTCTTATTTGCACTGCAACCAGTCAAGTGTTCCCATGGATGGAACTACTGTGGTTTGGAAGAACTGGTTTCCAATAGCTCCGTGCCTTGAGTCTTCATCTCCAGTGGAAGGAAAGGAACAATAAAGCTCTGAAGGCTGTTAAGGAAAATGCGTGTTAAAAAAGACTTTTTACAAGACCTGGAGCAATATACCTGAGTCATCGGAGACACTGGGATGCTTGCTGCTGGCYGCAGACCGAAGCACATCTGTACTGTACATCAGGTAGCTGTCATAGTCCTCACCTCCCTCAGCATCAATGATGGGGACATCAGGGATGATGGGGACTGCAGGGGAAGGAGAAGATGTGATTAGGTATTCAGCTTGAACCATGTAGGGCTCTGCCACACTGAGGCTGGTCCTCAGGGCTCACCAGTGTGACAGGCACAGGGGGAGGTGAGGGCATGGAAAAGCAGCTGGGGTAATGATCTTTTCCCCCACTGCTCCCTGCTTTGAAGGGTAGTAACTCACTGGACATCGGGCGCTTGGGTTGTGTAGCAAGGTTAATGGTGGCTTCTCTCTCAGGCCCCCAGCCAGCACCGTTTCTTGCCTTCACCATGTAGCGATATGGCTGGGACTCCCGCAGGTTTTCTATCAGCACCATGCGCTTCTTTGGATCTTCAACCAGCACCTTCTTCATCGGCCCAATGGGTACTGCAAATATGGACACATATATTCCTCACAAGGTCCCAAGACAGAGAGTACCCCACAGCACCCATCTCTGAATGAAAAGACTCACTGGGGCTGGGTATCAGGGCACAACCTGCCCATGGGACAAAGTGCAGAGCACTATTGAGGTTGCTCATGGCAGGTATAACATTGTCTTGGGAGAAATTCCCAAACTGAAAGCTGAAGTCAGTCTACAACTGATTTTCTRTTGCTCATGTGTTAGTTGCTGCCACTAAATAGCATTTTATAGACACTGYGACCCTAGGTCTAGACTTATAGACTAAATTTTTAGGGTGAGATATGGCACAAAATGGTACAGAAATGAGTGGGAATTAAGTGCTCAAGGCTTTATAAGAATAAATCCTCAGTGATAATTTTCTTTACTCTCTTTGCACTCTCTGTCTTCTCCAAACTCTGATTCTTGCAAGAAATGTCCTTGGAGTCATTCTGGTTCTGCTACAAAATAGGACCAGCACAACCCTCAGAAAATGCACTCCAGCCACTCAGGCTGGCTGAGCTGCCCCAACTGACCCACTCAGTAAATGAGTTCTTACTGTTGTCTTCGTTAACGAGTCCATAGCTGACTTCATAAGCTGTGATCTCCCCATTGGTTTCTGCAGGCTCAGCCCAGCTCAGCTGCGTCACGGTGGAGGACACAACGTTGAAGGCCAAGCGGCCAGGCTCACTGGGAACTAGCAAGGCAAGAGCAGAGCGTTACAAGAAGCCTGGGAGAGGGATGGACAGCGATAGAGAAAGGGGAAGAGACATAGCTAACCAGAGCAGGTGTCCATTATCTCAGCTTCCAGAGGCTTATGAAGCTTAAGGCTTGGTCATGGGTAGAGCTCAGCAGCCCAAGCCCCTGGAAGGTGCAGGGCACAGCTCCTCTAAAGCATAAAGTGACTGCTTTGAGCCAAAGTGCAGCCCAACTAATACCCATGCACTTTGTGCTGTAGGGGCAGCCACAYTGCTGTCCACCAATTCATACTTTCCACTGACTTTGTGGAAAAGCAGGTTGTTAATCCTGAAGCCCATCGCCAAAGCACTCAGGTGCCTGGACCTCCCAGGATTACAGGGAGCATCACAGCAGGAGCCGGTCGGTGCCTGGTCCCAAGGCTGTCCGTAGCTCAGGGCTGGAGCCCTGTACCCAAAGCTGTGCATGGGTCACTAGCTCAGTTTTGCAGAGGGAGGAAACAAGGTGCAGAGCAACTCACCGTCCTCCAGCGTGCGGCAGTGGATGACATCCGAGTAGAGCCCTTCGCCCATGGCGTTGTAGGCACAGACTTGCATCTCATAATCACAGAAGGGGTAGAGGTTACTCAGCTCTGCCGATGGTGGTTTGACATCGAGGAGCCTAGCTTCCGACTCAGGATCCCCTTGGATCCAGTATTTCACCTGATGAGACAAGGGAAAATCATGATTCCTTCAGATCCCTACTGCACTYGCAAAGAATTCCCCATCTTTTTTTTTTTCGGATGTGCTCTGGGGAAGCCCAGGTGCTGTGTGGACCCTCAGGAACGGGGGACTAGGACACAGAGCATTGCAGGCTACCTCCAGCTTTCACTGTCCGTTTCTGCACCCCTCTCCCCGTCAAAATGATGCCTCTGATGCCTCCTCTAGAGCTTTGCCTATTGTAAGTAATGGAAATGGGGATGRACCTTCGAGAAACTTTGCCTGCAAATCACATATCCATCAAATGGTCATTGGGCAGGGATGGTGACTAGGGCTGATGAACTTGTTGCTCTCACTTTGGACCTCCTCTCCCTGCCTCTTCAGCATGAGCAACWGTGTGTGTGATATGAAACACCCACAGGAAAGGGTACCTCTCTCCTCTGGGCTCTGTTCACCCCTTACCTTGTATCCCTGAGGTTTTCCTGGAGGAGGAAACCAGCTGAAGCGGATTTTCCTGGAGCTGAGAGCCTGGGCACTGGGGTTGAGTGGGGCACTCAGRCGGCCTTTGGGAGTCTGGGGGACTTGGCTTAGGCCAACCAGTGAGGAGACACCATCTACCACCTCTGCAGATACAACGAGTAAAGGACATGGGTCAGCACTGCTCCCACACACACAAGAAAAGATGTGTTTTCCTCAGTATTGCCTGATTGTCACTGTTTGAAACTCAAAGCCTTTCTGGGAAGCAGAGCTCCCTCATAGTGAAGAAAAACTGMGGCACATGAAGATGACCTCCTCCAAATATATTGACTGGTTGCACTGGGCAGCTGTGAGAAGAGGACAACACGGGCAGGAGCCTTCCCGGGTCACCCCGTTGCTTCTTCCAGAAACTCATCAAGTCTGTCCAAGAGCTACCAAGGATCCTCTTTCCCCCCAGGGTGCAGCCCAGGAAGCCCTTCTGATTGCTTCAGTGACAAGTGACTTCCTTTCTTTTCCCCTCGCTATTCATGGCCAGCACAGTGGTAAATACTTTCACATTATCATCCGACTTGATGACAACTCTTGCAGCTCCACGGGTACTTCTTGCACATCCTGTAGTCTGGCTGCCTGTCCAGCCACAGGAGCTTCTGCATACATCCCCCAGCAATGTCTGGGTCTCCTCCAACTTTGTGCCTTTTAATTCAGGCCTCCAAAGTAAAGGATCAAAGAATCCAATCTGTTTGCAATAGTTTATCCTTTGTCTTCCCACCCACCGTCTATACACGTTGCTGCCTCTAGAGGGAAGCCCAGATCCATCAGTGATGATTCATCTACTGAATGAACATCCTAATCCCTGTTTCGCAGATAAGAAGGGCTGGAGCTCTGCTCAGCAGCCTGGCCTCACAGGCATGGATTTTTCTGGCTGCACTGCCAGTCCCTACCTGGGTCAGCGATGGTCACTGTGGCCTGGGAGTACTGCCCAATCTTGGCACCGTTCTTCGGGTGGAGGAGGTCAATGGCAAACTGCTTGAGCTGGCGGTTGTGCAAGAGGGTGTCTATCTCGGTCAGCTCCAGCAACGGGACCTGCACCTCCTTACGGGTCTCTCCGGGCTGAAAGACCAGGTCACCCTCYGTGAAGACATAGTCCTGTTGCAGAAAGAACAGGAGGGTGATTACACAGCATCCATAAGGTGGAGTCCACAGCATCCATAAGGTAGTTTCCCATGACCTTCCTCTCATTTGCCAGTGAACATCCTCCTCACCTCCCAGTGTGGTGGGAAGACTGAGGCCCAGTGAGTGAGAGCAGGAGGTGGAGCTGGAGAACTTCTGCCCTTGTACAAGACAACCTTTGATGTCCGCTCTCACCCTCGTCCCCTTTCTGAGCCTCATACACTGTTTTTCTACAGAGCTTGGGTCTCCTCCCTCCCAGCCCTCTGCACTCCTTACCCTGCCACCCTTGGCAGTGAGATCTCTGGTCCTGTATGTGACTTGGGATTTCCCATCATCTATGATCTCCCGAACAACAGGGATCTTTGCCACTTTGTCAAAGCGACTGTGAGTATAGGTTGGCTGCAGGAAGGTGATGAGGCTGCCRACTGCAAAGGGCAAAAGAGAAGAAACATGTGAAGTAAATACTTGGAACAAATACATTAGAAACAAAAAGATGTCCCTCTGAACAGTGTTCACACCACCCTTTTTGTGGTGCAAATTTTGTGTAAAAGGTTGCGGTAGGGGCTGATCACTTTGCCAGTCCTACCCTTGCTCCCTGCTCAGAATAATCAGAGGGGATGATCCGGAGGTGTTCAAGCACATAGACTGTGCATTGCTTGGAAGGCATGTGAGTCCGTTTGGACACCAGTCAAACAAATGCCCTTGGTCATAGTTGCAGCCCTTCACCTTGTTCTTTGATGATGGTGATGTTGACGAGCCTGCGGCCAATCTCTGCGATGCCAGTGGGGACATCAATAGCCTCCACCTGCAGCTGCTTCTCATCGTCATCATCCTCCCTGATGAAGAGCGGGACACGGACATCAACCAGCTCCACAGCCTCCTGGAACTCCACCATCCCATGAGCATCTGTGGGTCAAGAGTGATGATGAGAGGYGGCAGATGCTCCCTGCCCTGCCAGGAGGCAGCATGGGGCCTGCTCCCTACCTTGATCCGAGGTGACGGTGTAATAACCCGGTGACACCTTCAGGTCATTGAAAGCCTCGTGGGAAACATGCTTTTCTGTCACTTTGATGATCTCTGCCTTTGCTGACCGAGGGGCAGTGAGCACAGTGTCCACGATTGTGTGGTCCTGCCTGTGACCAGTGCAAAGAAGAAATGGGCTAAATACAGAGGCCAGGTTTGTTTACCTCACATTGCTGCTGTGCAGCAGCTCAAGGGGCTTGCGAGGGAGCAGGACATTCAACCACCCTGCATGTCTGTGGTGAAGACACCCCTCTGAATGCGGAGAATTGGCGAGAGAGGGGTCTGCAAGATCCACTTACCGTTTTCCAGAATTGGGCTGTACCCTGGGGAGGAAAACAAACCGGAGTGACTAAAACATTTGAGGAGATAAAACTGTGCACAAATCACAGCCGTCCACAGGTCGGAGCCACGGCAGCTGCTCCGCAGGCTCCTCCCTGGGCCTGGAGCCAACCTGTCCTGCAGGGCCCGTGGCCCCATCGCATGTTCCCACATGTCTGGCTGCTCCCTTCAGTCCTGGCTTTCCCAATGAAATAAGAAGCATGCCTGGAGGGGAGATCACATCCGCTCAGAGCCATGAGGAGTAGATAACACTCCCTGCAGAGTGCTGACATCTCCAGGCTCCTCCAGCCTGCACCAAGCACTCCCAATTCTGCACAGGGCTGAAACCTTTGGCAACAGGGGGAATTTTGAGGATCTGTGGCTGCCTGAGGGAGTCTTGAATACATAGTGAGAGGAGAGCAAAGGGGAGCTAGTTCTGCTCTGCAGATCCCTGCGCAGGCAAAGGAACTTCAGCACTRTACTAGGCTGATGTTTGTGCTGAGGAATGACTCTCAGATCCCACTACCTTCCAGCATCACATCCAAATCCCAGCCCTCCCCTGCCCTCCCTCATCATCAATAGAGTCCCTGGGGTCTCCTCCACAGTTACTCACCTGAATTTGGTCTGCTGGACTCTGTGGCAGCCAGGAATGTGCTTGTAGATGTCATGCAGCTGCAAGGAACCAGAGGGACTTATATAGCAGTAAGCGCCCGCCCTAGCAGCTAGCCCCCACCCCAGAAGCACACGGTCACAGTGGCCACMAAACTGGGGCTCTCCCCAGTCCCCTTCCCCTTCTACACCAAGCAGAGGGGACTGCATCACTTCCCCTCTCCTGCAGCAGTCCCTGCGATGGAGCTGGCAGCCTCTAAACCCAGGATGCTTGAGGACTACGGTCTGGGAATGCTAACACAGGCTGAGCAGCAGCGGTGGGATGCTCCAGGATCTCCATCCCTATTGCCATCTCCCTAGGATGTGGCAAGTGGCCACACTGGGAACTGGAGCCAAACAGGAGCTCCAGAGCATGGACTCCTAAGCTGTGGTTCATTGCAAACCTTTTCAGCAACATGGTGCTTTGATAATTCTTAGAGCTGTGATTGTAAGATTTGTGCCTATCATGGGAAAATTCTGCTTTGACTCAGCATTAGAAAGAAATGAGTCTTCATTGCAAGAGCTTTTTAAATTTCCAGGGTGGAAGAGTTCCACTTTCCCCAGACCCAGGCAAAGACTCCTCAGCATGGCTGTAACCCATTCCCATCCCTCCCCACAGGAGCAAACCCTGCCACGTGCTCAGGTCCTTACGTTGTCCTCCACTTCCTTACGCAGYTGCTCACACTCCCGGCTCTCTGGCTTCAGAAGGTTCTGTGTGAAGAGCCGGGTCAGCCTCAGGGACAGCCCATAGGGAACTGAGAAAAGAAATTCTGTGGTCAGACTCCTTCGCTCTTGGTGAGAGAAATGACCTAACCAAAGYCAGAAGCATGGAGACATCATGATGATGGGTGTCCAGATTCTTTATCCCTAGCACCCAAACCCCATGTAGCACCAGCAGAGAAAACCCTCTGTGACCTGAGTGCTTACCAGGAAGCTCTGTGCAAGATGCTCCCAGGAGCCTATGAAGGATTCTGTGTCCAGTGATTGCCCTGGACTGATGAGTAGGTGCTATCTAGGTTGGATCATCTGAGCTAAGGAGACCTGACACAGAGTCTAGGAAATACCCGCCACGAGGCCAGGCTGTCAGGAGCTCTCCAAAGCTACACACGGTTTCTGCAACAGGCCTGGACACATGAACRTGCTCTTCAACAGCATCCTGGGATGGAAGCAGGTAATGGAGCAAGCCACCTTGCAATGGGCTTGGAGGTGATGGTGAAGGCAGGAGGCAACAACAAAGGATTCCTGTCCCTTATGCAGCACCCCACCCAGGCCCTGTTTCTCACATAAGACACTTACTGAGCTCCTTGGGGTTGGTGGCAGCGATGGGGGTGAAGCCCTGCTTGTGGACATTGTTGTTGATCTTCCAGCGGACTGTGTCTCGGCCCTTGAGGGACCCGCTGCGCACCATGGGGGTGTCCAGGTGGTCGGAGGACATGAGGCTCTGGCGAAGCATGTAATGGTCCTCTTTGAAGCCAACAGTGCGGCCTGCAGAGCAGTGCACAGGGTCAGAGAACAGTCTGACTGGGGCAACTGGAGCCGCTCAACTTCCCAACACCCACAACGTTGTCCTGCAGAATCTTTCATGCTTCCACAAAGCTAAGGGTGTTGGGAGTGGGGCAGAGTTGACCAGCCAGTGGAAAGGGCATGGGGTGCTCACAAACAGGGAGGGACGATTACCCCAGGTGGACAGTAATGAAGACACAGGGTAGGAGAGCTCTAGGGCAAGATTCCCTAAGGACATGTGCAGGTCAAGGTAGGAATTTAAAAGATTCCTTGGATTCTGCCAGGGACTTTCCCTTGATTAGTCTCCCCAAAATGTGGGAAATTACTGTGACCAACAAGAAAGAGAAAGGGTCATTTCAGTATGTCCTGGTCAGGAGGGCAGGGAACCTCTCGTGTCCCTTTCCCCCCAGTTCAACGGGACGGTACCTCGTGCACAGCAGGGAAGCAGCGCCAGGCAAGCCTAGGAAACAAACGAGCAAACACAGTCATTCAGTGGCCACGGACCAAAAAAAACACGTCTCCAACCAGGGACATTCACAACCTCAGCATGGGAGCAGACATCAGCGGAGCTCTGGAAGCAGATTTTAACCAGATGTCCCTTTAGCGGGGGAAATCAGGTTGCAATTCCTAAAAACTGCGGGAGAGTTGTTGAATGTTGGTGAGACTCAGCTACCAATAATCTGGCCATGTTGGAGGCTGGGTGAAATATGGAAATTTGTCATGTACTGGCCTTTATCTGGTTCCTCCTGAAGCCTCTGGCAGAATTCCCACCAATTTCCAATGGGTTCTCCTATTCCCTACCAACATAGTATGTTTTCCATTTGTCTGCACCAGCTGCAATAACTGGTTAGGGAATAAAAACAGAACCTATTCCATTCCATTCCATTCCATTCCATTCCATTCCATTCCATTCCATTCCATTCCATTCCATTCCATATTCTCCAAGCTATTCAGTAGGAGAAAGACTTGAAGGTCAACTTTTCAAGACCAAAAGCTTAATTGCAGTGCGGGCTCCCTCTCAGACCAGCCTTGCCCCTCTCTGTGGTGCAGGGAAACAGCCAGGCCAAGGAACTCACCTTGCAGCAGGCGCAGAACTTCCAGCAGAGCAACAGCAGCAAGCCCAGGAGCAGGATCAGGAAAATAAGCAGCGGGATGAGCCACAGAAAGCTTCCCGGAGGGCACTCTGCAACCAACAGCCATGATTTAGGGGCATCAAAAAACCCTGGGCTGCATGTGTAGGGTGCAAAAGGAGGGAAGAGGGGAGGCCTGGACAGATGGGAGAAGCCGGATCATATAGCTCTTTTAGGGATGGAACAACCAAGTTCAGCCTAGGAATTTCTCTCTTGTGCTCACACAGGAAAATGCTGCCCATGGAGTGGTCTCCTCCCACCTCTCTGCTCAYATTTGTTCATCCCAAGGGGCTACTCTGCTCCTTGTGTCTTTCCCCACTGATTCTGGCAGTGAAAGGGCACTGATCTCAAAAGGTCCTGATCCACCTTGTGGCATTCATGTGAGATCCAAGTGTGACCCGGCACATGGCAGAGCACGGAGAAGAGGTGCTGTGTGTGCACATCACAGCTAACCCCAGCTCCACACTGCACCTCCCTCCTGCTGGGCCCCTGCTCACCTTTTTTCTTCTGCACCTGGACGGTGGCATTAGGGAGGACACTCGGATCTCCCTCCAGCGTGTAGTGGTATGTGCAGTCGTCCTCCTCGTCCTGGAATGAGCAGTGCTCGTTGGCTTCTTCTGCAAATGGAAAGATAAGGAATAGGCTGCCGGGGGATCTTGAGCAGGAACCCAGCACTAAATGTGAGGAACAGGTACACACACACACACGAGACATCACATGCAACGACACACAGCTCTGCATCTCCTGGTACCTTTCTTCAGCTCTTCCACCATGTGAACCTGGAGGTGGCAGCTGCTGCAGTTCCCTTTCATCTTCCCCGTTCCCCAGGCCTGGCACTGAACGCAGTCCCGGATGTTCTCACACACAGCCTGGAAACCCTGCAGGGAAACCCAAGGTGGGACCGTTAGGATACAGACTGAGGGGCATCCAGGAGGAACATCTCCAAACAGCAACAAACCCGCATCCTCATCCTTGTGACCGGGCAAGGAGAGAAGGGATGAAGAGCAAGCAAGCGGCTAACACAGACACGGCATTGGCAACCCTGGGACAAGCGGTCACAGCTTCGTCCYTTGCAGCCCGGTGAGACTTTTCCTGTTTATTGGAAGAGGTGAGCGAAGGGTCTGAGGAGGAGCAGGTCTGGACCTGCCGCCTGGGCGTGAGGGCAGGAGGGGGCCCTGCAGAGGACAGTGCAGATCTCCTGCCTCACCACTTCCCTCCCACACAGCCCTGCGGAAGGGAGGATGAAGCCAGGGGTGCAACTGGAAACCAGATTCATGTCTGAATTTTGTCGTCTGACTCGCACACCTCCGAAATCCAAACAGCGTGCGTGAGGAAGTCCATGCACGAGCCCATGCAGTATGGACCCAACAGCTCAAGGCATTTGAATGGGAGAGCATGAACCCTCACAATCCCTCCAAAATCTCTTAYGCTGACATGCTGTATTGGGGGGTGATAGATTTTCTACAAGGGTTTTCGGTGGCTTTTCAAAAATGCTGTACCCCATCATGAGGTTAACCTGTTTGTCAATGGGCCACAAAAGATTTTTTCCCAGTTTCATGGAAAATTAGAAAGAGAAGCCATGACCCACAGCCTAAACCTTGGTTCTGAATGCTAGACRCAGTCCCTCCACAGATTGCAGGTAACTCAAATTTACCTTGCACAATCACAWGGCTTTAGCACTGCTGGTGAACTGGAGGGCAGAGCAAGCCCAGAGCTGCAGCGTGGGGCCCTTCCTGGCCACATGTGGCAGAGGAGGGACAAAACCAGAGGGACCCTGGGGCTGACCCTTACCAGGGAGTAGCTGATTTCACACGTGGAGCTGGTGTACAGAGAAACTATGTCACAGATGCACCTGCCACATTCGCACCTCCCGTGGTTATTGCAAAGGCCCTGTGGGATAAAAGGGGTCAGTCAGCATCCAAGAGMAATCACAGACACCAAGGGCACTGTGGACAAGCCCTGAATCTCAGACCCCAAAGCACTTTGCTACTGTCTCTCCTGGGGTGCTCTTCCTCCCCAGGTAAGGTTGGCCTTGGGGACGGGACTTACCCCTCTGCTGTCAATGCAGGTGTCGTTGCTGGTGGGACATTCGCAGCCCGGGCCCTCCCAGCCGCTCTCGCACACACACGCGCCCTTGGAGCATCGGCCACGGTCTGCAACACAGAAGACATCACCAAGGGGCTCCCTGCCCGCACTGCTGCCCAGCCCTGTCCACGGGCCATCTCAACTCCCTCAGGTTCAGGGGGCTGCAAAGGGCTGTGCTGAACCAAGACTCAGGCAGATTCCAGTGCTTTTCTCCCTGTATCCTATTTCTCCCAGCACGGAGTCCCCACAGCCCATTGCCAACTGTGCAGTGGGACAGTGCTGGTCCATGCCACTCTGCACTAAGGGACACTGTGACCTGCCAGTGCCTGGGGCAAGAGAGGAACTTCAGCAATGTGCTCATGGCATGGAGCAGCTCTGTCCTCAAAGCATCTCACAACAGGGACACTTGTCATCTACCTAATGGTGCCACAAACCTGTCACCATCACACTGCTCCAGCAGCCATCTCAGCTGCTTTGATGCCAGCCCAGAGGGAGCTGCCACAAGGAGGACCGCTCTCAGGACCCATGTTCCCTCTCCTCAGAGAGGAGACATGGAGGGAATCTGGAGGCAGTGGCTCTCACCGTTGCAGAGGAAGCCGGAGGTGCGTGGGCACTGCAGGACATCGTACTGGCAGAACTCGCCATCGAAGCGCAGGCTCAGGTCTTCAGAGTAGCACTGGCACTTGCCACAGAGACATTCACCCCGGCCCGAGCAGGGCTCCACATCGCCGGGGCGGATGCAGGCCTCGTTGTTGAGGGATGAGGCTGGGGAGCAGTCACACGCGTCCCCTCGCCTGGTGGGGGAAAGAGATGCTGAGAGAGGCAGGAGCAGGGCATGGCAGGATGTCCTTGGCACGAGTGTGTGTGCCCAGAGACACCAGGAACCACAGAATGGGTACAGAGCTAGACAAGGCCCTTACCAGCCTGTGTGACAGATGCACTGGCCACAGGCRAAGTCTCCATTGAAGTTGCACTTGGGTGAGCTAAACTCTTGTTGCTGTAAGAGAGAAGAGATGGGTTCAGCGTGTCCCATGCCATGTTGGGAGTCAGGGAGGCAGAGCCAGGGGAAATCAACTCGTTCTGCTAATGAGTGACCCTCTCCACGAAGACACCAGGCAGAGCTGCCTGCCACCACACAGGCAGAGGCAATTCCCACTCCTGCGGCCTCAGAGCAGCATGAGGACCAGCAGCTGTGAATCCCGAGTGTGCCACTGACCACCCCAACTTGTGCATTCACAGCAGCAAGATCCACAACACAGATCCTCCTGCTTTAAAAGCTCAGAGCTGCTGGCACTGAAATAGAGGACCGTGTCTGCCAGTAAGAAGCAGATTCGGACCAGCACATGCTGGCCTAAGCACACCCGCTCCCAGATAAAAAAAGCACCAGGGTTCTCTGCAGCATGTAGCCCCCCATACCTCTTCACAGGGACACACGTCACAGATGACAGAGGCTTGGACTTTGAGGCTGTCGCTCAAGGATGTGGGTTTCACATGGATAACTCCCTGCCTGTCTTTCTCAGGAAGGCTGCAGACGTGTTGGCTGCCTACGTACTCAAGCGCCTTCACGCGCATGTTGAACTTGCCCTGGAAAGGGAGGAACACGCAGGTGAGCCAGGTCTGCCCAAAGCGCCTGCTGGAGGTAGTTCTGCTCGGCTGACCCGTCACTGGCAAGTGAGGGCAAGGAGTTGTGTGACACAGGCCACACTGTGCCTTGCTCACCCTGCCCTGGCAAAACTGCAGCACAGCTCTGCACGCTGTCCACACCTCTCATGGGGACTTACGATTTCGCCTCGGGTGATGTGGAAGGAGCCAGATTCTGTCTTTTCATACATGGTGGAGGTGAACTCTGTCTTCAAGGCTTTGGGAACAAAGTCAGCCCGGATGTCCATCTTGGAGCGGATGCGCTATGTGGGCAGAAGGGAATCACTGCAGAGAAGCCTTGCAACCACCACCACAGCCTGTCCCAGGGCTCACACAGTGCATCCTCTTCCACTTTCCCTGGTGGGAGGATCTACCCCCCATCTGCCCTGGGAGCAATACTGCAGCCCCAAAGAGCACTGTTACCTCAAAGGCTGTGCGAAGCAGCTCCACAATGTTGGAGGAGTCCTCCTGGAGCACCCCGATCTCAGAGATGGGGAAATACTTGTGTAGCTTCTGCAAAGAGAGAGGAGCCCACTAAGCCACAGCAGGAACAGGTCCAGAAGCTGAGCAGCAACTGCAGTGAGCATCTACTGTGTCCACCAATGTCGAGGGGAGTCCTGGCTGCCCAGTTGTGAGGTTCTCTGTACTTGAGTTTGGAGTAAGTAGAGCAGCCATTTAAAATTCCTTATCTACTCCTGCCTGGAAAGGGCTGAGGTAAGCAGGATTAGACACCAAAGCAGGCCCAGACCCACCACTAGGGCTCCTCTTCTTCCTTATAGCTGAGCTGCAGACAGAGGAAGAAGGATCCTGAAAGAAGATAAGCCCATGTGGCTCCCCTATCACCAAGTTCTCCTCACCTCATAGTAGCTGTAGGAATGGTTTGTGACAGCAAAGATGGGGATAATGTTGTGCTGTCCCAACAGGCGCACCAGGGTTGGCACTGATGGATAGTCCTGCTTGGTGTCATATCTGTAGGTGCCATCAGGATCCAGGTGACACTGCTCATCATTCCTCCTCAGAATCCCTGCCAGGACGTTGGTGCCATCAGCTTCATAGTGGAAGGCAGATTCAGTGGAAAACACAAGCAGGTGAGTGCTGTCCTTCCTCCAGCCAATATTATCCTGCAGCCAAGGAGAGGCAGAAGGGACCTTTCATCACCAAGGCATCACACACAACTTGCACTCACTAGCTGACCAGTACTAGAGTCTTTGGCAGAAAGAAGAAGCAAGAAACCCCCTTATCAGCTCCACCAGCTACTTGTAGGCTTGGGAATCCAAGCCAGCAGGGTTCTGCTTTCACCATCTGTAATCCAGGGCATATGATGTCTACCTGACTGGACAGTACAAGGTACATATGTATAGATTAGACAAGTCCTTGCTTTTGTGGACAAGTTTGGAGCTGTGTTCATCCATTTGCACGTCTCCCTCAGCCAACAGGACAAGCCCAAGTGGGCAGTTTTCCAAGGAGTGGAATTTCACCATGGCAAACACAAAGCGGGACAGTACAGAGGCAAGAGCATACAGAGTGCCCAATAACTGGTTCCTGTTACTTATCCCTGTTAGATTCTTCTGGTTAGATCAAATACCAGACAGACAAACACACATCTGATTGGAGATCTAGGAAGAGATGGGAATGCAAAACAGCTCAGCACCAGCAGCAGGAGCAGCAGGCTGGAGAGGCAAGAACAGACTGTGGCTAAACCTGAAATCTGGGCTTATTGACTGTGCCATTAGCTGCCCAGTGTGCTACTTCTCTCATTACCACATTAGCATTGTTCCACTTATTACCCAGAATCAAGCAGCTTTAATCTCTAAGACACTCCTCACATACACACACAGAGTTCTTCCTTCTGTGGCCACCATTACCTTGCAAACAGCTGTCTGCAGGATGGCATCGAAGCCTCCTTCAGGGGCATCCAGGTTGCCGGAGATGCGTTCTTTCCTGAGCTCCTTGCTGAAGTAGTCAATGTTGCTGGTCAGGCGGATGACGTTCTTGAAGGAGAAGGGGGAATCAGCATTGTTCCAGGGCTCGCGCAGCCTAGAAGAGAAAAGAAGAGCAGGACTTTTGCACGGGGCAGGTCTCATTGCAAAGGAACGCATCAAATGTGCATCAAGCCAAGCCAAGCAAGGCACTGCTTGTCCACATGCAGCTCTTAGCACTGGACTGCATGTGCAAAAGTTGGCTCCACCTCTCTTGGGGTACATAAGCCAGTTGAACATCCACCCCAACTCCCTGGATGTTAGGGTGGAAGATCATTCTTGGAAAGACTGATCATGGGAAGACATTAAGTTGAGATGACAAATTAGCGACCCTGTAAGGAGCGACAGGAGCTGTAGAAGGGATAAGGGCAGAGATAGAGATGAAGGAATGATGTGCACTGTTACAGCAAGCCCTGARTGCAGAGCAAGGAGGCTAGAGAGCAGAGATTTACAACCAAGAGAGCAAGAGCTGGACAGAGGCTCTTGCACTGCAGTCAGAGAAGACCAAGACAGAAATAAAATGTATCCGAGGTACCTGCCCTCCCCACTCTGCTCCCAACCCGTCCTTGTGGCCCCATCAGTCTCACTCACTTCTCAGGTCTCATGTCCGTCTGAGGGGATGAGACTTTGTCCACAAACTTGCCAAATCCAATGGTGTAATTGCTGGTCAGGGCTTGCAGGAACTTTGCTGAGAGGAGGGAGCGGTAAATATGTGAACAAGAAGAGATACCTGCAAGATTGATGCTCCAGGGAAGAATTCCCTTTCTCAGCTACCTTCTTGGCTCATCAGGTGTTACACACAACTTCCAAACAGCCAATTTTTTAGATTTTGGGTTCTTTTTTTTTTGTGTGTGTGTGTGGCGGGGAGGAGGGACAGGTAGAAATCTACATCATCTAGCCTTTGGTGGCTCCTCTCCAAGACTGGTGCTTCTCCTATAGCCCAAATCACCCCTACAGGATTAAGACGACAAAGCTGCTGCTCAGAATAACTCTGCAGGGCACCAGCACCCATACCAGGCTGAATAGAAGATAAGACACACGATGAGCCCTGCAAGACCAGAGGCCACATCCCATCTTGGGAGAGATTTACACAAAACAACAATAAGATAGCACATAATTAAAACGACACCTTTTGGCCCTTTGCGGGTTGCATCCCTTTCTCTGGTGCTGGCAAAAATTCACAACCCTAGGCAAGAGAGACCCTTCATAAGTGTAGGGTCTGGCTACCCTCTCTTCTCCCAGCCCTGGTCTCACCTAGCTTTTGTCCCATGCTTTTGAGATTGTCCAGATCATCAGACATTGAGTAGGAGAAGTCCATGAGGATGTAAAGATCCACAGGGCTCTCCAGGGGCTGGAAAACATCCATGTCAAAGCTCATCTCCTCTCCAGCTCGCAGCCGCATCAACATGCTTTGGGGGGCCACCTCAGTCCTCATGTAGGACTTGCTGATAGTGATATTCTGTGAAGAAAGAGAGTTGTGAAGAGGATGAACTGATGAACTTCATCTCCTGTGCAAATACAAAGAGAGGGTGGCATTGAGAAGGGGAATCCTTGGGAAAAGGAAAGCTAGGGGTGAATGTACACCCTTCCTTCATGTACAGGCTGGAGCTCCTAGGCCAGCTTCCCCCAGGCCCAAGTCTGCCCAGGGAGTCATCCCAACCTCCTCCAGACCTTGGCATTTTCCATACATCTCTTCYATCTGAAAAGACACCCCAGATACAGTGACCGGGCCTGGCTGTGAACAGGTTCCCCCAGCCTACAAAGAGAAGGTGTTGGTGTTGAGTAGGCCCTACATAAAAAGTAGTGGGTATTTTCCCTGCACAAGAGGCTGGAGGAGGATGAAGGACTAGAAGGATGTTGGAAAGAGTAGAACCCTTCAGAAGAAGAGGAAAAACAAACCTCTACCTTGCACCTACCTGCAGAGTCCTCATCTCGCCCCTCATGTACACAATACTGGCCTCCCCGCAGCCGTATCGCAGCAAATTCTCCCGGAAATCACAGCGAGGCTCTTTGAAACTCTGCAGCAACAGGGGAAGAATGTTACAAACGCAGAAAGAAGTAAATCTCCACAAAAAGAGGCCACAACACTGCTCAGAAAGCTGGCTCCTCTTTCCAGAGGGCTGGATCTGGTGAGCTTTTGCAAGCAGGAGAGGAGGAGGCCCATGGAGATGAACCAGGTACAGAATAAGCAATGTCCCCTCGGGCACCAGGGAAATGCTAGTGAGTCACTGGATCTTCTTGGGCAAGGCTCTCCCTCACAGCTTGGCACACACTGTCCAGATTTGGAGCACCAAAGGAGCTCCAGAGCTCCAAGGAGCTCCAGATTTGTCAGGCAGACCTTTTCTGATAAAGCCTCATTTCTGGAAGCTTGCCCTGAACTCCCCTTCCTCTCTGTTTGYCATCATAGGCTGCTTAAGCCAAGGAAATCCACATTTTCAGTCTTGTGGAGAACAGTTTGAGTCAACATTTGACTGCACTGAAGTTCCTCTTCTGGATTTCAGCTGGAGTGACAGGATATCTCCACTCACTGGGTGTGAAGTCAGCCTGGAAGCAGAGTCCCACACTTCCCTGTAAGTTCTCACCTCATCTGTGCAGAAGGAGCATTCCTTGTCCACGCGGATACACTCAGTGCAGCTCTTGGCCCGGGACAACACACATTGGTTATCTAGGGGGAAAGCAGAAGCATGTGCGACAGGGGAAATGGGTGGGTGGTGGAAGGGTACAAGAAGATCAGATGCTGTTCTTGTGGAAGTCAATGGGAATTTTGCRTGGATGTTCAGTGGTAGATGGCTACAAAACAGCAACTGGGTATGTGAAAGAGGTGTCCCAGCTGCTGTGGAGCTAAGACAAGAGAGAAGGCACATGGCAGATCTAACAGGGGCTTATCTGTATGAAGAYCTTGATCTCCAAGAACTGGAGAGGGGTGGTAATACATCCCCAGAAGGAGCAAGCAGAGATCATGGACTGACATGAGGGCCACACTCACTTTTGTTCCTTTGGCAGAGGCCYGTGGTGCAGAGCAGGGACAGGAGGAGCAGCCCAGCGTACACCCTTGGCAGCGCATCCATCCTCTTCCTCCTGAAACAAAACCATGAGCAACATCATGGCTAGTTTAGCCATGGTCGGGCTGCTGAGCCACCAGTCTCCTGCAGGAACCAGGACCGGCACAGGAGGATAGGCTGCTCCCTGAGGAGCCTGGCACTGTCCCCAAGCACAAGCAATGATCAGGTCCAGACCTTCCTATTCCTGGTAGTTTAAAGTGAAGCAGAGGAGGAAAAAAAAAAAAAAAAAGCAATTGTCTGCATCTCACCCTAAAAGTAAAACAGACCCCTCCCTTTGGCTATTTCCTATTGCACTAAGAATTTCCAGAATGGTCAAACCAACAACAAACAGAGGGAGAGGCTTTGGGAAATGCCTAATGGGGAGCTTTGCGCTGCTGAATGAGCCTGGGGTTTGTGAGCCCATTGCTCTTCGCCTCTGCTGAACAAAGGTGACAGGACCCTTGCAGGCAACTGGGGGCAAAATCCTAAATGGAGGGAGCTATTTCTTCTGCAATCACTTCTACCCATCTAGCCACCAGCCAGCTCTCAGTGTTGCCCCGATCTCTGCATTTGGACCTGGCAAACAGGAGAGACAAAACCAGAACATGAGCTCTGGGGATGTCTGGCTGGAGAGGGTTGAGTTTGTGAGGTACAAGAGGGAAATTGGATTTTTCAAGGMAAAAAAAACCCCAAAACCCTCTTGGAAAGACCATTTTAAAGCATTTCTTTCATGGAAGGTACAGGTGTAAAACATAAGACATAGACAGATCATCCAACAGCTCTTACTCTGTTGACTCTGATGCTTCCAACCCTTGTCCTACCAGCCATCAACCCGGGCCTGTTTAACAGGGTGACTTCCCACGCACGCTCCGGGATGCACAGAGCACTGCCTAGGCGAGGGGAACACCGATACCTTGCACAAAAAACACCCACCACACTGCCATATTTCTGAATTTCCTCTAGAAGGGGAATTTTCACTCACACACACGGCAAATGGCAGCGCTTTGTTCGGATTTTCACATCAATGACAGCAAAGCTGCTGAGGGCCAGGGGCGGCTCCCAGCTGCGTGAYGCCAGCTCGGTTCTCCCCGAGCGCACACGTGCTCCAGCGCTTCCCCRCCGCGTCCCCGCCACCCTCCTCCACGCGGGCTCAGGTCCTGGCACCGCTTCGGGCCTCACCGGGCCGCCCRGGCCCGGCCCACGGAGCGGGGAGAGACACGGCCGCCTTGTGTGGCATCCAGCCCCACCAGCGCCCGCAGCGCCGGAATTCCCCGGCTCTCGCTCCTCCTTCCTTTCACGGAAGGTGCGCAGAGTGGGAGGGAAGGCCCCAAGCAGGAGCACTGATCTCCTCTGCTCCTGAAGTYGGGAAGCCAAACGCTCCTTCTCCAGCCTCACATGGACCCATGTGGGAGCACCGGCTCTGATGAGGAGCGAGAGCCACCCGACTTGGTGGCAGTTTGCTAGAGGGGACATACACGTTTGTGGAAGCACAGGACCCCAGACCACAGGCCTGGCACCCGAGCACAGTGTGCGTTGGGAATGGGGGGATGTTCAGACCTGCAGCTCGCCCCAGGCACAACTGCAGAGCCCCAACCCTGTGTTGGAGCAGCCTGGGGCAGGGTGCTGAGGCCCCGCACAGCCTTGTCCCTCAGAGCCCTCTGCCCCCTGTCCCTCAAAGCCCTGGGCTCCTGGCTCCTCTCCTCAGCCTGGGCTGGTGGACACCAAGTTGAACGTGAGCCAGCAAYGTGTCCTCATCATAAAGATGGCCAATGGTATCCTGGGGTTAACCCCTGCTCAGCCCCAGTGATGCTACATCTGGACTGCAGTGTCCAGCTCTGGGCTCCCCCGTGAGAGAGAGACATGCACATACTGGAACACATCCAATGAAGGACCACAAAGACRTCTAAGGCACTGGAGCATCTCTCCTGTGAGGAAAGGTCTTCACCTTTCTGGAACTGTTTGACCATGGTCAAACATAGGAAGGATGGAGTCTCAGAGAGGATGGAGTCTCCACTCTTGAAGATACTCAAAACCCAACCAGACAATCATGGACAAACCCCCTCTAGCCGACCCTGGTGGAGCAGAGGCACTAGACCAGGTGGTCTGCAGACGTCTCTGCCAATGCTCTTTGCTCTGTGGTTCTTAGCCTGCCTTCTCACCAGGACTCCTGCACACTGTTCTCCAYAGCTCTTTCTCCCTCCCCAAACAGTTCCAGCTTTCAGAAAGTTTGGGGCACTTTGGTGCTCCAGAAGCACCTCATCCAAACCCCCATGGAGCATCAGCCCCCTGCAGSTCTGCACCTCCCTGCTGTGTTTGGAGGGCAGGGACTGCGTCAGGACCACGTGCGACGGAGCCAACACCATGTGCACCATGCRCCAACAGGCCACTAAACGGGAGGGACCTGGAAGAAACAGCACTGCACCGAAGCACAACCCACTTCACACTGATCTCCAGCCAAAGCCCAGCCTGGAGGGGCCAGAAGAGCAGCCATCTGCCCACACGTGCTCGTGAAGACCACAGCGCTTGCTGCTTGCCCAGGGAAGCCCCAGGCCCAGCTTGCCCAGGCTGAGCTGCAAGTGCAAGGATCAAGGCAGGGTCCATAATCTCTTCCCCTGGGCTACTTCTTTGTGGCACACACAGGTAACATGCTGCAGAACTTAAAAACTAGCAAGAGGCATCCCTGCAGCAACACTGAACGCTTACTCAGAAGTCAAAGTACTTTTTAAAGACGAAACCGTGTTCAGTTTGGCTTTTGTTCTGCTTCCCCTCCCCTTTTCTCCTGTTTTCCCTCCTTCCTCTCTGTGCAGAGACTCGAACAGCTGTGATTTGCTGTTTGCTGCAAGAAGTGGGATGTGGGCTCCAGGTGCCGACTCCGTCTGGCTGGGATGAAGTGCACGAGGGACGTGTGGCCTCAGAGATGGAGTGCCGACCCGCGGGGAGGTCCCAGCTGGCCAGGGGATGGCTGGCACCCCCATCGGGCAGCCGTCCCCCGCAATCTCAATGCATTTAAAGCGATTCAGCCTCGTTCCTCCACCCTCCAGACCCACAAAATGCTGAACCTGCTCTCCTGCCGAGAGCCATCAGGAAAGTTGGGAGCTGCTGCGCGGTGGCCGAATTCCCGCTGCACCGACGTCCCCTCGGCACTGTCCCTGCCCCGTTTCCAACGTGTCCTCCCTTCCTCTGACCCACCACTCACTTTTTCCCTTTCTCCCCTCCACATGCAATGGTTCTCCCCCTCTCCTGYACCCAGTTCCCCTCTGTTGGCTCCCTTGTATGGACACGCCAGATGCCCGCTCACCTCTACCCCACCTTCTGCTTTCCTGCACCCTGCATTTCAGAGTCACTAGCTGGCAAACACAGAGCTATATTTGCAGTTCAGCAAAACCACAGCCTTTCCAAGCCCCGTTCGCATTCAGCCCTTTCCTCTCTGGATTCAACCCTCCTGCTCTGCTCTGAGCAGCTCCTGTGTTATGCAGAGATTGTGCCCAGAGCCCCATTTTGCAAAACAACTTTTGTGCTTTCAACGGGCTGGACCCTCCTGCAGCTCTGAAGGCTCCAGGCTGCTTTAAAAGCAAAATCAAACACTTTCCTCCACGCCAGCTCCAAAGGCACAAGCAACTTTCCCCCATGGAGCAGGCAGCACAAGGGGAGCAAAGTGAAGCCTTTTAATCCACAACAAGTTGTCCTCTAAAGCTCAGTCCACGTTGTGCATGCCCTACACGCGCACTATGGGCATGGTGCCCCCCAGACTATTTGGTTAGACAAAGCAACTGAAAAAAAAAAAGAAAAAAAGAAAAAGAAAAAAAGGAAAAAAAAGGGGAAAAAAAAGTCCTGCACAACTCTGCAAAACAGAACTGCAAAACTGAACTGTGGAGCCCCAGCGCTGCTGATCCCGAGCGGCCGAGCGGCTCGGGAAAGCGCCAGCAGCTCAAGCGAGAGCGTGGCGGGCAGAGCCTGCGTGCCCGCCGCCGAGTCCCCCGCGCCGCCGAGCGCGGGTCAATTAATTCCACAAACCTCATTAGCGCTGGGGTGACTCGGTGTCCAAAGCTGCTGCCACAGCCAAATGACCGTCACCCACTCGGCCAGCGGAGAAATTCTTCCAAAGGCAACGAGGGAATCCGCCGCTTCGCTGCCACTAGCTGATTTCCAGACTCGTTTGCTTTTTTCCTCTCTCTCCTTCTCTCCTCCTCTCTCGTTCCTGTCCCTTTCTCTCTTTTCCGGTTAAATGTCAGTGGCGGGGCCTGCGGGGAGGGCCGGCAGCCCGCGCGCTGGCATCTGTCCGCAGGGAGCCCCGCGCCCGCCGCACAAATATCGACTTTGCTCCGGTGCGGTTGTGCCGGGCCGGCCGGCGCTGCCCCGCGCGGGGCGGGAGGAGGTGGGGAGAGGCGGCCGGCGGCTCCCTGCCCAGGTGAGAAAGAACTTTATCCCCGGCGGGAGGAAGGAGGGGGTGCCCGTGACTCAGGGCTGGCATTCCCGCATCTCCCGCACACCTGCACGGGCAGGAGCGGCCGCCCAGCTCCTCCCGCCTGCCCCCGGGAAAAGGGCCGGGATCAGAGCCACGCTCGAGATTTACGGAAGGGGCTGCGATCCYGGTGCTGTGGGAGCCACACTTGTCAGCTCACACAGTGACAGCAACAACCCCCAGCCCAGCGTCAACTTTGGGACTGGGTTTATACAAAAACGAGCTGTATCCGGCAGTCTGTGGGYGAAGGGCAGAGCCCCTCGAGCACAGGGAAGGGGCTCGGGCGGCGCAAGCGGGAGCCGTCCGGGCTCGCTCCCGCYGCGGGGTCCAGGGGCGCCGGGAAGGCGACGGAGTCGCTGCTCTGCTTGGATTTCCTGCCTTTCTTGGACGGTTCCCTTCCTTTTTTGAGATTAAAAATAAAAGGAGCTGGGCAAATGCAGCCTCATTATTGCGAATGCAGCACGGCAGGGGCAGCTGGTACCCTCCCTCCGACAGGGGGGACAAGGAATTGATCCCACGGCAGCAAGGAACAGAGGGGCTTTTCCTGCAAGAACGGTGAAGCTTG